TCCACCAGCGCAGGCCCCGGGGCACAGGGCACCAGGACACAGCCCAGGATCCGGCCTCCCCCGGGACAGGTGGAGGCGGGGAGGGCCCAGGACAGCGAGGACGCTCCTGCCCCGAGCTGAGCACATCAGCGGCCCCGCCCCGGAGCCTCCAGGCCCTGCGGACGGAGAACCGAGAGCCCCGAGCCCCGTAGTTCCTGCGGAGGCTGAATCCAGGCTTCCAGAGCTGCCATAGCAACTGCGGCTGTTCCTCCTGGTGCCCCACGGGGTAAACAACAAATCAACTGAATGAGATGCAATCCAAACTAGAAGTCTCACGATAAGGGTTAACGAGGTGGAAGAACGAGTGAGTGACATAGAAGACAAGTTAATGGCAAGAGGGAAACTGAGGAAAAAAGAGACAATTAAAGGACCATGAAGACAGATTAAGGGAATTAAATGACAGCCTAAGGAAGAAAAACCTACGTTTAATTGGGGTTCCCGAGGGCGCCGAAAGGGCCAGAGGGCCAGAATATGTATTTGAACAAATCCTAGCTGAAAACTTTCCCAATCTGGGAAGGGAAACAGGCATTCAGATCCAGGAAATAGAGAGATCCCCCCCTAAAATCAATAAAAACCGTTCAACACCTCGACATTTAATAGTGAAGCTTGCAAATTCCAAAGATAAAGAGAAGATCCTTAAAGCAGCAAGAGACAAGAAGTCCCTGACTTTCATGGGGAGGAATATTAGGATAACAGCAGACCTCTCCACAGAGACGTGGCAGGCCAGAAAGGGCTGGCAGGATATATTCAGGGTCCTAAATGAGAAGAACATGCAACCAAGAATACTTTATCCAGCAAGGCTCTCATTCAAAATGGAAGGAGAGATAAAGAGCTTCCAAGACAGGCAGGAACTGAAAGAATATGTGACCTCCAAACCAGCTCTGCAAGAAATTTTAAGGGGGACTCTTAAAACTCCCCTTTAAGAAGAAGTTCAGTGGAACAATCCACAAAAACAAGGACTAAATAGATATCATGGTGACACTAAACTCATATCTGTCAATAGTAACTCTGAACGTGAATGGCCTTAATGACCCCATCAAAAGGCGCAGGGTTTCAGACTGGATAAAAAAGCAGGACCCATCTATTTGCTGTCTATAAGAGACTCATTTTAGACAGAAGGACACATACAACCTGAAAATAAAAGGTTGGAGAACCATTTACCATTCAAATGGTTCTCAAAATATACCCTAAAAACTATAGAACACTTCTGAAAGAAATTGAGGAAGACACAAAGAGATGGAAAAATATTCCATGCTCATGGATTGGCAGAATTAATATTGTGAAAATGTCAATGTTACCCAGGGCAATTTACACGTATAATGCAATCCCTATCAAAATACCATGGACTTTCTTCAGAGACTTAGAACAAATTATTTTAAGATTTGTGTGGAATCAGAAAAGACCCCGAACAGCCAGGGGAATTTTAAAAAAAGAAAACCATATCTGGGGGCATCACAATGCCAGATTTCAGGTTGTACTACAAAGCTGTGTTCATCAAGACAGTGTGGTACTGGCACAAAAACAGACACATAGATCAATGGAACAGAACAGAGAACCCAGAAGTGGACCCTGAACTTTATGCTCAACTAATATACGATAAAGGAGGAAAGACGATCCACTGGAAGAAAGACAGTCTCTTCAATAAATGGTGCTGGGAAAATTGGACATCCGCATGCAGAAGAATAAAACTGGACCACTCTCTTGCACCATACACAAAGATAAACTCAAAATAGATGAAAGATCTAAATGTGAGACAAGATTCCATCAAAATCCCAGAGGAGAACTCAGGCAACACCCTTTTTGAACTTGGCCACAGTAACCGGAGAAGGACAAACAGTGTATGTTCTCATTCATTTGGGGAATATGAATAATAGTGAAAGGGAATATAAGGGAAGGGAGAAGAAATGTGTGAGAAATATCAGAAAGGGAGACAGAACATAAAGACTTCTAACTCTGGGAAATGAACTAGGGGTGGTGGAGGGGGAGGAGGGCGGGGGGTGGGGGTGAATGGGTGACGGGCACTGAGGGGTACACTTGACAGGATGAGCACTGGGTGTTATTCTGTATGTTGGTAAATTGAACACCAATAAAAATTAATTTATAAAAAAAATAAAAAATAAAAAATAAACTGAAATAAGAGTTGGTTGCTTAACCCACTTAGCCACCTAGGCATCCCCACTATTGATAAAATTTCTGTCATTTTTTCTTTTTTCAAAAAAATCACATTCATATGAAGTGCTTCCAAAATTTAAACTTTTGTCTCTTTTACAATGTTTTCAATAATATATATAAATTCCTCAATTATGTTTATTAAAATTACTTCCTTTATATAAGGCCTACTTCTCTACGGCATGATTGGAGACTCAAAGTTGTCATTTATTAGAGTTTTAATACATCATGTCTTGGGACACCTGGGTGACTCAGTGGTTGAGCATCTGCCTTCAGTCCAGGGAGTAATCCTGGAGTCCTGGGATTCAGTCCCACATCAGGCTCTCTGCATGGAACCTGCTTCTCTCTCTGCCAATGTCCCTGCCTCTCTCTGTGTCACTCATGAATACATAAATAAAATCTTTAAAAAAAATAGATCATGTCTTTAACATATGTTCTTGCTATCAACAGGCAAGTGTGGTTGTTTAAAAGTCTATGAAGATCAATTTCTACATTACAATTTTAATATAAAAATATCTGGCCCAGGGCATGATCCTGGAGTTCCGGGATCGAGTCCCACGTCGGGATCCCTGCATGGAGCCTGCTTCTCCCTCTGCCTGTATCTCTCTCTCTCTCTCTCTCTCTCTCTCTCTCTATCTGTGTGTGTGTGTGTCTCATGAATAAATACATTTTAAAAAATCTTTAAAAAATTAAAAATAGAAAAGGAAATGGGAATTGTCACCTTGTTTGTATGCCACAAAACAATATAGTCTTTGCTTTTCCTATAATTGTGCATTGCTTCTTAACAAAGTACCTTCTGTCTACCGTTTTATGGAAGGCCTTTAAATGCACCAGCTCTTTTTGTTTTCTTACTTTTTGGTTTTGTTTTCCTGTGATTTGATCAAAAAGTTAAGCAGTAATAAAATGTGAAGATCATTTGTTCATCCTATTGAAGCTGCATGTTCCTTTTGCTGTAACTACTTGCCCGTATTCTGAACCTTCTTCCACTGCTTTGAGAAATAGGGAAGGGAGTGAGGTAGGCAGTTGCTAGGAAGACCTTCATGCTTTACTCCAGTGGTTCTCTAACTTCAGCGTGCATTGGAAACATCAGCAAGGCTTGTTAAAACACAAATTACTGCCCCACTCCAGACCTTTTAGCAGGTCTAGGATGGGGCCTAGAAGTTGTATTTTCAGAAGTTTGCAGGTGAAAAAAAATGTTACTCATAAAAGAAAAGTTGGTGATGCTGATCTAGGGACCCTGTTTTGAGAACCATCACTTCACTTTTGAGTCACTCTCTTGCATAGCCAGAAAAATGCTTTGTACATCATCTAAAGAGGAAACTTGATAAAAATCTATGCAATTACTTAATAGACATATTTATATGAATTAATTTGAATTTAGGCTAAAGGAACCTTATTGCTAGAATCTAAGAGAAAATGAACACTTTTTGCCACTCACTGCAGCCCAGAAATAAGTATAATTTCCCCAAGCTGTGGATCATTTTCTTCCAAATAAATCAATAATTATACAGGACTTTATAATACAGTGAAGAGAAAAAAGAAGCAATATCAAAACAAAAACTGTGAACATGAATGAAAATTTGTTAGTTTACCTCAATGCCCTGAAGAAAAGCAATGCAAAATTCAGTCTAACAATAAAGACTAGCATTAATGACAAATACATTATTCTTTCTATGGAGTAGAGATCCTTCAGTACTATTGTCAAAGCTACATATGCCTTAGGGAGCATAATTTTTTTAAGAATATTTTATTTATTTATTCATGAAAGACACACAGAGAGAAGCAGAGATATAAGCAGAGGGAGAGGCAGACTCCCTGTGGGGAGCCCTATGTGGGACTCGATCCCAGAACCCCAGAATCAACCTGAGCAAAGGGCAGACGTTCAACCACTGAGCCACCAGGTGCCCCAGGAAGCCTAATTAACATGTGCCCAAGGTACAGTTTCATTGCTACATAATTTCACATGGGAAGAAGGATAGTAAGACACCAAACACTTGTTTTCTCATGTCTGATATGCAGACTTCAATGAATACATTTGTTTATTAAAAGTCTGCAAATTACAGACCTACCTTACTTGATGTGTTCAAAATGTTTAATAAATTTTCACTCTAAATTGTGTTCTCCAATGAAAAACTATATTTCCATCTGAAATATTACCTGGTTCATGGGAAAGGGGAACCAATTCTTTAACAGAGTAGTTTTATAAGAATTTCTATTTTTCTGAAATTTCACTGATCCCTTTGAGACTTGCCATGTGATAGTTTACTTTTACCTGTAGTCCTTATGTTTTGAGTCTATGTATTTCCTAAAAATCTAGGAACAACTCATTTATTTAAACAGATATTCTTTCACCAAGGAACCTATAGCTTTCCCTTATTTCCAAGGAGACATCAGTTGGAAATTGCATTGCTAAACAGACAGCTTTTGTGGCAGTCCACTTATAAAGCCACTATAGCTTTTAACACAGCTGATTAAAGTCCCCTCAATTTTGCAGGCAGGTTACATCAGCCAGTTTGCACAGCTGCCACTAACTACCATCCATTTTCTCCTAAAAGGAGACCAGAATACTTTCTTTTTTTCCAAACAGAATTAGAGTCCAGCACTTCCAACACAAAGTGGAAGCACATTGCCCTCCGGGTGGGGGCGGCGCAGCTCACTCAGCAATCATCACAAACCATCATGCTTCAGTACCCGCCATTAATGAATGGTAGCCACAGCACTGCTCAGAGAGGGAAAAAAATGAGGCAGTCCTCATGCTTAACCCTCTCTCTTCTCTTTTTGTGTTCATCCAGCCCAAGAAGAGCAGCACTTGATACACAGCAACCAAGCTGAGAGTCACACTGCTGTTGGCAGAGAGACAGCTGAGAAACAGCAGCAGCAAGACTGTGGTGATCCAGGTCACAGATTATCACTACTAACACCCCTAACCCAATTATTGTCAATGCTATTTATAACAACTTTAAAACAAGAAATCACTTGGCTGTCAAATGTTTGATGCTGACACCTTAGCGTACCCCTGAATCCTTTTCTATGGGTACCCCATGTTGGGAGAGAAACTGGATGAGCCATAGTTTCCCAGCCTGAAGAGACCACGTAAATTTTGAAACCCTGTGTACAAAAACAGAAGACAATTGAAAATGCTGTTATACTAGTTGTAAGGAAATCACAGTTTCCCAAATTAAGGTAAAACTTTTTCCTCTAAAGAGTACAATCATGGAAGAATCTTGAGGTAGAAGGAATGAGGTGATCATTTAAAAGAGCTGAGACAGCTCCTGTCCATTGATTGATAAGAGATCACCGAGGTTGTGGATCACTGACTAGGGAAAAGAATTGTGACTGAGAACTTCACGTTGATCCAAAGTTGGCAAGCCACATATTTTTCATCTTTCTAATCATAAATATTTTACTGTTTCTTTTAGGCCTAACTTTATTTCTTAGAGACATAAGGTTGGTTACCACTGAAAACATCTCTATGTGTTTGCCGCAGATCTAATCATACCAAATAGGGCACTCAAATTGAGAAATGGGATTTAGGGGGAATAAAGATGAATATATCATAAAAACTGTACTTTTTTTTTTTAGAGGGATTGGAACTCAGTATCTTCATAAAATACTATAAAATCCTCCTTGAATTATTGAAGTGCATGCATAAAAGCATGGAAAGTATCATTGCTATGTTAAATGATTCAAACTAAATCTGAATCTTTATCACTCATTAAAGAATACCTTAGTGAAAAATAAAATCCTTAGACTGCAGAAATGACTACATACATATATATAGTTACACATATTTAATTCTGTAATGTTGGATTTGAAAGCAGAAGATGAGGTATTAGCTCTGCAACCTAAAACAACCAGTTACTTTGGTTTTCTGTCCCTTGGTTTCTTCATCTCTTAAGAATATAACAATAACTCTTTGAAGTTAAAAAAAAAAAAAAGACTGAAGATTCCGGGCAAAGTTAAAGCATTTTAGAAATCTAATATAAATATATATATATATATATTCTATATTCATACATTCTATATTTATATAGTATAAATGTTCACCCTTGGTGTGAAATTCAGGCTACCATTTGCTAGGTGCATATACAGCAGTCTGTATTTTCAAATATATAGAACAAAACATGATTTATTTGTATATATATGTATATAAATATGTATACTTTTTTAAAATACTTCCAATATTCTTTTCTTCTACATGCAGCAGTGACACAAAAGATGACTGAGCGGATGAACTACCAGGCAATGAAACTGACCCTTCTCCAGAAGAAGATTGACAATATTTCTTTGGCTGTGCGTGATGTAAGGAACACATACTCCTCCCTAGAAGGAAAAATCAATGAAGATAAAGACAGAGAATTTCAATCTTTTCTAAAAGGTAAAAGTAAAATATTCATTCAGTTGAGACAAAAATTAAATGACTCATTTATCTTTTCTCATATTTTGGAATCTTTGCTTTAGATTAGGTGGTATAAAAGTCTAAGACATATTTTTGGAATAAGATATTTGTAAATCAATTTCTAAAATAATTTGAAACATCTAAATTTATACTGCATAGCCAATCTTTTACTCAATATTTCACCTGATTTATTTTTATTAAGTACTAATTACAGCTTAACTTATTTCTTTATAGTTAAAATTAACCGTAATTAATTTACTTCCATTGTGGTTTCCAGTTCAAGATGAAGATGAGGTTAAAAAAGGATTACCAAGGCACTAGATAATATGGTTGTATCAATAATATTGATGAAGATATTGAGGATAAATCTAAAGTATGTTATTACCCCAGAAATTATCTAATTTATAGAATATAATCAATAAAATATATCCTAAAACATCTCAGGTAATAGAAATAATTTCTTTATAAATGTGAATCAGTTTTGCCCAACTTTTGTGCTCTTAAAACAGCAGGCTGTATTTCTTCCTGGAGGTTTTATAGGATAATCTATCTCCAGTTCATTCCAGTTGTTGTCAAAGTTCATTTTCTTGTAGTTGTGAGACTGAGGTCTTATTTTCTTGATTGCTATAAACTGAGGCTTATTTCTAGCTTCTAGAGGCCACTACATTTCTTGGTTCATGTCATTTTTCCTCCATCTTCAACCACCAGCAACACTGCTGAGTGCTCATGGTGATGTAGGAATGACTTAAGGGCAGATGGGGCTAGGCAGGGAAAGATAAGGGAAAGGGCCAGGGTCAAGATCCCAGAAATCTGTGGGCTCCCATAAACCCTAAGGACACCAAAAGGCCCGGGTCAGGCTCCTACCCATCCCAAGAAAACAGAGATAAGCTAGTAAAAACAGAAAAATAATAAACCTGGCTCCCTAGCTCCAAAATGTTAGGGAGTATCTCCCTATAATGGCTACTAAGTAATCACAAAAACACCAGACCACAAAGAAATGTGTCATTAAGGGATTATCAATAGTCCCTGCTCAAACCTAGACTGCACAAGAAATCTCAAGGCCGTGGGCTCCCTGGCTAGGTTCTCAATAAAAGACTGGCACTAAAAGTCCTCGGTGGCAACTTTGTCAGGACCCCACTCACTTCTGAGAGCCTTCTCTGTATCTGGGCTTAATAAATTTCTATCACACTTTACTCACTCTGTTGTCCGCAAGATTCATTCTTCTACTTCATGAGACAAGAACTAAGCTCTCCCGTATCAATGGCATATTTCAAACCCACTCTTCTACCTTCCTTTTCCTCTCTTAAGGGCTCAGTTATTATATTGGGCAGACCTGAGTAATCCAGGATAATCTCCTCGTCTCAAGGTCTTTAACCTTAATCACATCTGCCATGGCCCTCTTGCCAGGTGAGGTAACATATTCACAAGCTGAGGAATCTAGGGTGGGGACATCTTGAGTAGAGCAGCATTATTCTGCCTACCATGGGGATCTGTATGTAGATAGTGAGTAATTGGTATAGTAATGTTATACACAGGGTACAATGTGACCATTTGATAGTTTCAACAAATCCAAGCTAAGGACACCAGAGAAGACTTCTACAAAAAGAAACCATCTCAACTAAGAAGCTAGGGTCCAGGAGGAATTAATTAGGCAAAGGAGTTTCAAGGAGGACCTGGATTTTTTAGGCAAGGAATTTTGTCACTAGGAATATTTCAGTTCTCCGGATTTATTGTATGTTTCCAAATTTCAGGATTACTGTTCCCTTTTACTTTGTTTTATACATAAGCATATACTCATTGTACAACCCCATGACTATAATGTTATTTTTTCTTTATTTTTCATCTGTGGTTTGCAGGTAAAAGATAAGGTGGAGGTTTCCATATCATCTACCAGTATGACAGCAACCATGATTATTTTTTTTTAATTTTATTTATTTATTCATGAGAGACACACAGAGAGAGGCAGAGACACAGGCAGAGGGAGAAGGAGGCTCCATGCAGGGATCCCAATGCGGGACTTGATCCCGGGACTCCAGGATCACACCCTGGGCCGAAGGCAGATGCTCAACCGCTGAGCCACCCAGGTGTCCCCATGATTTTTTTAAATTATGTAAATATTTGATGCTATTAAGCCCCTGAAGGCAAGACCCTGCCCTACATTTCTGGCATGTCCCCCCTATGGCCAAACTTACCAATGACAAGCATGAGAGAGGAATATATTTTCTCTGAAGTGATAACATGAGAAAGAAATCGAATAGAAACAGTATATCATTGACTAACACTGCCATAATGAAAAATTTTAAGCAAAATTTGGTTATCATAACCAAAGAGAATTAGAATTAGGCCTGTCAACAGCTTTTTGTGAAACTACTAACAAAAATTCTGGTAATGACCTAGAAAAAAACATTCCATTCATAAGAGCAACAACAAAATTCTCCCCTCAATAGAAGGCATTAGTTGTGTACTAAGCATAATCAACTATGAAAACCAGAGAGGGACACCTGGGTGGCTCAGCAGTTGAGCCTCTGCCTTTAGCTCAGGGCATGATCTCCGTCCAAGGATCCAGTCCCACATCGGCCTCCCCACAGGGAGCCTGCTTCTCCCTCTGGCTGTGTCTGTGCCTCTCTCTCTGTGCCTCTCATGAGTAAATAAATAAAATCTTAAAAAAGAAAGAAAGAGGGGCAGCCCCAGTGGCGCAGCGGTTTAGTGCCGCCTGCAGCCCAGGGCTTGATCCTGGAGACCTGGGATTGAGTCCCACATCGGGCTCCCTGCATGGAGCCTGCTTCTCCCTCTGCCTGTGTCTCTGCCTCTCTGTGTGTGTGTGTGTGTCTCTCATGAATAAATAAATAAAATCTTTAAAAAGAAAGAAGAAAGAAAGAAAGAAAGAAAGAAAGAAAGAAAGAAAGAAAGAAAGAAAGAAGCCTGAGAGCTTTGTAGTTAATGAATGTTCATTCAGATAACAGAAACTAAACTCACCCCAGGGTGCTGCACTTGGCCTAACAAAACCACAGCCTCTTCTCTTTCTTACTCTACAAGCACAGAGAGGAATCCGGCTTATCTACTAGTAACCACAGAAATTGTCCCAATTCCTTAAGACGTACCTGAGTGTTGTTAACAGGCCATACATTCACAACCACAGAGGGACACACCCACGTGTCTGATAACATATCTATGGGTTTGATATCCTATGAGTCACATGAAGCAGAATCAAATAAAGTTAAAATTATGTCCCCATTTCAGATATTGACATAAAGTACTTTGATGTATTTTTGCAAAATCAGGTTCTTGCAGACAATTTTTTAGCAATAAATTATAAAAATGTTATCTGAAAATCTCCTTTTCCAGAGAGATCTATTTTTAAAGCTAATAGTCTGTTTGATTTCAGACACTGCTGTGATTTTACCCTTTATCCAGTGTATTTTTCCATTAAAGATTTAAAATATAGTAGCTAAAGCACCTCCTAATTTCCATATTCACCATTTACTTTTTTCCTAGTTACTTTGATCAAATACTCTAAGCTTTGCCTATTTGCAGTGCTTTTACCTCTCATTCTTATTTTGACTTTCAGATCACATAGTTGGGTTTTTTTCTTTAAAGATTTTATTTATTTATTTATTTATTTATTTATTTATTTATTTATTTATTTAGAGAGTGTGTGTGCACATGAGCTGGGGAAGGGCAAAGAGAGAGGAGAGAGAGAATCTCAAGTTCACACTCCACTGAATGCAGAGCCCAACCAGGCTGATCTCAAGGCCCTGAGATCACAACCTGAGCTGAAACCAAGAGTCAGATGCTTACCCCCTGAGCCACACAGGTGCCCCAGATCACATTGGTTTTTGTTGGCTGAATTTAAACAGCTATTTTTATTGTCCACAATTATTTAATTCAGTTATACTTAAGTTTTCAATCTTGAAAAACATTTTAAGCCAAAATGATATAAATTCCAAAAAGATCTGATCCCTAACCTTAAATTTTTTATTGTATTTCATCAAGTTCTCATGAAAATTTAAGACCATTTTAACCAACAGGAAATGACTAAATGATCTTGTGGGAAGTGCAGTAAAAATAACTTTGCTATTTAGTAGCACCTTATACTGAGTGAAGCTAATATATTCTATTTATAGTATCAGAAATCTAATTTTCCAAATTTTGTTTTCTGTGTAGTATGCAGAATTTGCTCAGTGAAGATTTGTTATGTAAATGGGTAACTGACTAAATGCTAAGTAAAATTTAGAAAATAAAAATACTTTTTAAAAGTCTTTTAGTGTAAAAAAAAAGTCTTTTGGTGTGATTATTCATGCTATTGCATACAAAGGCTAGGACTCTTTCAGTATAATTTATCTTATTTGTGACTGCTTAAATTTTTCTAATTAATTTAACCTTTCCTTAGTACTTTGGTGCTGTGTCATTATTTAGTGTTCCCATACTTCACATTTTTACTATTATTTTTTCCATTACATACAAGTTGATTTTCACTTACTTATATTTTTGGACTTTTAAATGTATTTCAGGGGCAGCCAGGGTGGCATGGTGGTTTAGCGCCACCTTCAGTCCAGGGCGTGATCCTGGGGACCCGGGATCAAGTCCCACATGGGGCTCCCTGTGAGGGGTCTGCTTCTCCCTATGCCTGTGTCTCTGCCTCTCTCTCTCTCTCTCTCTCTGTGTCTCCCATGAATAAATAAATAAAATCTTTAAAAAAAATAAATGTATTTCAGTTTTCATTATGTCTAGAAATGTAAAATATTATATTTTTCTCTGAAAATACTATTCACTAAAGATCAATTAGCAATATTGACCTGTAGGATTTCCAGGGAAATATTTGTTCATGTAAACATTTACAGCTTCTTCTTTGTACCAGATTAATATCAGGATGCTCAAGCAATACATCATTCTATTTGTTATAATTGATCTTTCATGTACTTTTTATGCAAATCTCTCGTGCATCTCAGATACTTTTTAAAACTTGCTTACAAAATAGAGATATGTAGAGACTGTATATTTTTATTCTACAATTACCTTTCTTAAATAGACTTTAGGACAGCCATAATTCATTTCACATTTATGCAGACCTTCCTGTTCAAAATGCTTTGTAGTATGTTACCGGTATTTTACATTACAGTCATTAGCTACATTTTGGATTGGAGTGGAGATATCTTCCATTTATATGTGCTTCATAGCTAGGTTCTATAAATACACCTAAAGCATTTGTTTTACTTTTTCCCATTTTCTGTATTTGTATGTAACAGGTTTGGTTGGTTGTTTTTTTTTTTTTTCCATTTTTAAATATTAATTTCCCATTCTGAATAGTTCTGAGTTCTGAGTACTTCAGGATTCTTTTCCTTTTTTTTTTAATGCTACTTTTAGAGCTGACCATAATTCTGATTTATGATCAGTCCATGCTTTCTAATTCTGGAAATACCAATATGTGTTTCATTAATGGCAAGTTTCCTTTTATTTTTGTTAAGAATTAATGTCATATTATGGTAATCAAGCAAATCTCGAATTCCTATTTTCATTTGACTTTGTTTTGTGATCCCCAAACCTCTCATTATTATTTTATTGTTGCTATAAACTATTGTTGAATCTTGTAACTATTACTTCATATTGTTCCTTATTTGAGAATCTCATTAAATTTCTCCTCTGCAGTCAATTTATTAGTTTTTATGAGCTCAAAATACAAGCTCTGAAACCTAATTACTAGCAACTTAATAACATAGTCATGAGCTAACACCAGGTATTATTTACTGAACCAGAAAGCCCAAAGCCATTTATTTTCATACCAGAGTAAGACTAGACTTAGAATCATAATGTACAAGGATCTATTAACTAAAGTTAGTAGCAGTTCCTTCATGTCTTTTGTTTATGGTTCTGGTATGTTCTACATCACAATTGATTTCTCCCCTTAGACTTATCAATTAAGAAAGTCATCACCTTCTATGAACTATAGTAATTTTTAAAATTTCAGAAGTGTAGTAAAGATGTATTCTTATTATTACATGTTATTACTTCTTAATCTCCAAGTTTTTATCTTTTAGAGATATCTGAATTTTACACAATTAAAATGGTATATCATTTATTGTTGTTTAATATTTCTTTCTCTAGGTCTAAAATCCAAAAGTATCAATGATCTGGTAAAGAACATAGTAAGAGAGCAATTTAAAATTTTTCAAAATGACATGCAAGAGACTGTAGCACAGCTCTTCAAGACTGTATCGAGCTTATCAGAGGACCTTGAAAACACCAGACAAATAATCCGACAAGTTAATGAATCTGTGGTTTCAATAGCAGTCCAGCAAAAGTCTGTTTTAATGCAGGAAAACAGGCCCACTTTGACTGATATACTAGACCTAAAAAATCACATTGTGAATATAAGGCAAGAAATGACTTTTAAATGTGAAAAGCCTATTAAAGAACTAGAAGCAAAGCAAACTCATTTAGAGGGTGCTTTAGAACAGGAACACTCATGGAACATTTTGTATTATGAATCCCTCAACAAGACTCTTTCTAAAATGAAGGAAGTGCATGAGCAGCTTTTATCAACTGAACAAGTATCAGATCAGAAGGGTGTTCCAACTGCTGAATCAGTTAGCAGAAATGTCACTGAGTACATGTTTGCTCTACATGAGAATATAAAGAAGCAGGGTTTGATGATGCTGCAAATGTTTGATGATTTGCACGTCCAAGACACCAAGATTAACAATCTCACCATTGCTTTGGAGATGGAGAAAGAATCTGTCAGGGGTGAATGTGAAGACATGTTATCCAAGTGCAGAAATGATTTTAAATTTCAAATTAAGGACACAGAAGAGAATTTACAAGTTTTAAACCAAACATTGGCTGAAGTTCTCTTTCCAATGGACAATAAGATGGATAAAATGAATGAGCAGCTAAATGATTTGACTTATGATATGGAGATCCTTCAACCATTGCTTGAGCAGGGAGCACCATTTAGAGAGACAATGGTACATGAACAACCAAAAGAAGTCATAGCTACAAGAAAAAAAGTGGAAAATCTGACTAGTTCTGTCAACAGTCTAAATATTCTTATCAAAGAACTTTCAAAAAGACACAATTTACTTAGGAATGAAGTTCAGAGTCGTAGTGATGCCTTGGACAGACGTATCAATGAATATGCCTTAGAAATGGAAGATGGCCTAAATAACACAATGACTATTATAAATAATGCTGTTGATTTCATTCAAGATAACTACATGCTAAAAGAGACTTTAAGTACAATACAGTATAATCCTGAAGTCCATCATCAATGTACCCAAAATATGGAAACTATTTTGACATTTATTCCTCAACTCCGATATTTGAATGATTCTATTCAGATGTTGGTCAATGATAATCAGAGATACAACTTTGTTTTGCAAGTTGCCAAGGTCCTTGCAGATATTCCCAAAGATGAAAAACTAAGTCAGTCTAGCTTTCAGAAGATTTATCAAATGTTCAATGAAACCACTTCCCAAGTGATAAAATATCAGCAAAATATGAGTTATTTGGAGGAAAAAATACTCTCAGTCACAAAGATTTCCAAAAATTTTGAAACTAAGTTGCAAGATATTGAGACAAAAATAACTAAGACACTCATACCTTATTACATTTCACTAAAAAAAGGTGGTGTGGCTACAAATGAGAGAGACCAGGCTCTTCAAATGCAGGTACTAACTTCCAGATTTAAGGCACTGGAAGCAAAATCCATTCACCTCTCAGTTCACTTCACTTCACTTAACAAAACTCTGTATGAAGTTTTAGTCATGTGTCATAATGCCTCTACACGTATCTCAGAACTGAATACAACCATACCTAAGCAGATAAAAAGTTCTTTACCAGATATTCAGCTTCTTCAGAAAGGTCTCACAGAATTTGTGGAATCAATAACTGAAATAAAAACTCAAATTGCCATATCTAATTTAACTTGGTATATAAATCAAACACTGTCTGATAGTCTTGCAAATGTTGTCAGGTCTCAGAAGCAAATAAAACCATTGCTGAAGAAACCCAATTCACTTAAAAAACCAACAGTGAATCTTACCACTGTCCTGATAGGCCGGAACCAAAGAAATACAGACAACATTCCAGTTCCTGGTAAGCTATTGGTAAAATAATAATTTTAATCTCTCTTTCTATTTAATGGGTATTTAGGAGATCTGTGGGGTTTATCAAGACCATAAGATATAAAAGATACTTTCTTGAACTTGGGCAAATAGTTAAGAAATTCAAAGGTCACTAAAAAACTATTTGAATCTGATTCCATATTATGTAATTAGGCATCAAGTGCTTATGGTTTAAATATTTGTCTCATTTTCTTAACTTTTTTCTGACACATTCCCTATAATACAATCAAACTTGCCCGTAGAACATTTATGCTTTCATATGTGATTAAGGAAAGCTATTAGATAATGAGTTTCTTAATGAAAATGACCAGACAGAGTCTTATTCATTTTGGCATTCTCTGAAAAAAATGTCTGGTATACAATAGGAATTCAATAAATATCTGTTGAATAACTGAATGAGCACAAAAGTCAGCAGGAATTCTATTTGTGTAGATCACAGCAAGCCACAAATACCAGGCTAAGCATTCGGGCTACTGTAACAAAATACAAAGACCAGGTGGCTTCCAAAGAACAAAAATGTGTTTCTTGTGGTTTTTGAGACTAGAAAGTCCAAGATGAGGGTGTCAGCATGGTTATATTCTGGCGAGAGCCCTCTTTCTGGGCCACAGCTGGTGACTTGCTATGTTCTCCCATGGTAGAAAATGTGAGAGATCTCTTTGGGGTCTCTTTTAAAAGAACACTAATCCTGTTCATGAGGGCTCTACCTCCCCATCTTCTAATAACTTTGGGGTTTAGAAATTTTTCTTTCTTTTTTTTAATTAAAGATTTATTATTTGTTTGTTTGTTTATTTATTTATTTATTTATGAGAGATGGGGAGCCCAATGCAAGATTTGATCCCAGACCCTGAGATCATGACCTGAGTTAAAGGCAGACCTTCAACCACTGAGCCACCCAGGTGCCCTAGAATTCCAATATATGCATTTTGAGCAGACACATCATAACACTAAGGCATTTAGACATGATTTTGTAAGAGTGATCTTTGAAAATTTGGAGCACGGTTATACATGGTGGAAACTGTGTCTCAGAAACATGAAGCTAGCAGTAGTAAATAGCACGACTACAAAGAATGAAATTAGAGATACCAGTTAGGACAGTATTAGCAAGATCAGTAAGAGCCAGATCTAAAGAAGAGTAAATTGAAACAGAGGGGACAAATGTGAAACATGTGAAAGTAAAATTAACAAGCAGCAGGAGAGTGGAAAAATTGGTGATCCAAGGAAGAGCAAAGCATGATTCTGGTCCTGGTTGTTTCAGTGATTTCTCTGTAAATTTAAGCAAGTTCACCTCTCGGGGTCTCTGTTTCTTTCTTTTCAGTGATGGGATTGCAGTAGGTATTTTGCTGAGCTCATTAGTAGAAATATGTTACCAAGCACATTATTGTAAAAAAACGTGAGCTGTTCACAGTCTGAAGGTAAGGCACTTGCAGAGGAAGTGATCTAGAATACTCTGAAGTTTAGGATTTGGGAAAAGAAAGGGTAGCAGTATCATTAATAGACGTTGTAAACACCAGAGGAGAAGCATAAATTTGGGAGGAAGGAGGAATCCAATGCAGTACATATAAACACTCAGAAGTCCTTCTGTATGAAAGAAGTGTTTCATGAATATGTTTGGTGTATAAGTAATACTAAATAATCTTTCCGCAATGAAAAGAATAGCTACTGATTCTTACTAAAAGAAATGGCAATATTTCTCTCATATGAGTCTGCTATTAAATTATATGTCCAACTGGATGAATTTTTTATTTTATTACTTTCTAATTACAGAAGAGTGATCATTGTCCTGACATAATATGACTCCATATTTAATCTCTGAATGTTTCAATAATATCAAAAACCACAGACTAATACAAAGCTGCATTGTTTCTTGACTACTTAAATTGCTGTATTTATTTATGACTTCTTTTCAATTAGTCTGACCCAGGAAGACTGATCTTGTCATGTGGAATCACAGAACAAATGATTCAGATGTACATGTTTCCTAGAGAAAGGTAGTAGTAGTCCAATATGAGATGTTCTTGTAATAATAATTTTAGGAAACATAATAACTTGTTCTTTTTCCATTTTATTACAATCTTTAGTCTTCCCATGGATGTTGCAAATGAGTTTCAGTGAAGCTCTACTGCAGCATATGTGATCATACATCAGGCAAACCACGTCATTTTTTTTTCTTAAACCAAAAATGCCTGGATCTGTAGAGTAAATATAAAATTTAAATAGCTTCAAAACTAATTGAGGTAAAAGGTTTAGTAGGACATAAGAACTTATAAACTTTTATAGTATAAAGAATGCATGTTAAGAGTTTATAAAAATTGTATTTGGATGTTATATAGTAGCTGACTCAATATTGGGCTTAATGGGTTAATAATTAACTTAGTTCTGATTCCCTTTTTTTTTTTCAATGATGCCCTGATAAAATTGATTCCTGTTCTTTTATGTATTGGAATTAAAATTTTTATAGACTTATCTACCAAAATTAATAATTAATTTAAAGTTCTTTATTTCAGGAAAGATTGTCAACAATGTCAGGGCAATAAAGATATATTGGCCTAATTTCATGACCTGGGTGGATATTCACTTTATGTAGAACCAGCAGCATAATGTGTAGGACCCTTTTAGTGGGTGTGTAGATATGCATGCTCATTAAGCCAGCTTCTGTGGGCCATAAAACTGACAGCATTCATTGGCCATCTGAGCTGGTGAAGTCTGTGCCTGGTGAAGGAACCTGTGGACTCAGAGTAAGTTCTCCTGTAAGACTAAACAAACTGTGGGCACCTGGATGGCTCAGTCAGTTACCCTTGGCTTTGTCTCAGGTCATAATCTCAGGGTGGTGAGATCAAGCCCCACTTTGGGCTCTGGGCTGGACATGGAGCCTGCTTAAGCATCTCTCTCTCCCTCTGCCCCTCTCCCCTGCTCATGTTTTCTCTCTCTCTGTCTCTCACCCTCTCAAAAAAAAAAAAAAAAAAAAAAAAAAAAGAATAAACCAATTGCAATTAACTCCTTCATTTGATACCCTGTTTCATACCAGGTGTATGTGCCATTGGCTAAATTTGTCTGTGTTTCCTTTGACCTCTGCTATTACACTATAAATACCATGTAGCCATATTACTCCCCTACCTAACTAACATCGGAAGATAATTCATCATCACCTTATGAACTGCACAATATTATTCAGATTAGAACCACTATCATTTGCAGAATAGTAAGTGCATTTAATAAAATGAAAAAAACTATGAATTTAGTTTTTAAAATGTAATCTTAATTTTAATACTGGTAACTTCTTTTGAAGCCTAATAATAGTAGTATTATAGTAACATAATATTGGATATTTCTTATTAGCCCTATATCATAGGTGCTGTACAAATTATACTATATATGTTAGCTCATTTAACAACACTTAGGAAGTAGCTATCATTATGGTTTTTTGAATATAACTAACTGTCACAGAGATGAACTGACCTATTCTGCTTAATTAAGGTCATGCAACTGGTTAGTGATAGAGCCTGAATCCTGGTCTGTTAGACTCAGGGCTCAGTCATCAACTACTGTTCTCAAAGAGATTATGGAGTATGTTCACCAGCCTTTCTCTTCCTTCTCCTTCTGTTCAGTGCATCAGATCTATCTCAGAGTCTGGCCATATCTGAATATTCCAGATGGTTAGAATCAATACTCCAAGAGAATTTCCCTTCTTGAGGATCCCACAACTGCTGTTCATTTCTGCACTTACCAGGAAGTAAAGGTGCTACTTTTCAGTTTGGATTTTCTGTGATATGGCTGATGGGCAGTTGTCACTGAAAGTGACCATAAATTATTCACAAGATCTTTTTTTGACTGATGCAGAAGGGCAAAATTCAGAGTCCTCATCTCTGTCACTTCCTGTGAGGCATCCCTAACATTCGGTTATGTTAATTATGATTCCTCCTAGGCCATTGCTGATAAGCTGTTCCGGTTGAATCACTAAATATTTGATTTGTGTCTAAACAATATTCCCATAGACACGGAGAGGGTTTTATTTCATCTTTGAAGGTTTGTTTGTACAGCAATTGGCCAACTCGTTCCTGCAGAGAGGGTTTAGCTGCTTGCCTTCTAAGAGGAGCTGAATCGTGCTGTAACACATCGGCAGCAACATTGCGGAGGACAAGCACTTGCTGCTCGTGAGACCACTGACTTTTTATTGTGACCATTTCCCAGTATTTACCAGATATACTTAACTCTCATAATAAACCTCTTTTATTCGTAATTGCCTCCTTAACCACTCCTTTTAAGAAAGACCACATTCTAAAAAAAAAAAAAAAAAAAAAAAAAAGAAAGACCACATTCTATATAAGACTTGGGAGTGTATAAAAACACAACTTCTTAAAATTATCATTGCTGAGGATAGAAGCAATCTAAAAGAGAAAAATAGGAGCCAAAATTTATAACACATGGCCTGACAACAAAGGAAATGGAACAGAACACCAAGTCCCATCTACGTAGACACTCAACAGGCTGAGGTTTTTTAACAAGAGTCACAGCTATTTCTTAACAATTAGATTATTTCTTTAGCACTCAGGAGTCGAAATCAAATTTGATTATTAACTAATCTACAATTAAATACAATGAATATCTAGATATCTTTCTCCTAGTCATCAAAACCACTATAAATTCAAAATTTCCCATGTGGTATTATTTTGTGTCATATTGCCCATTAAATATGAAAAGTTATTGGGATGAGTAAATCACATATTGTGAACCTACTTTTTAAAATCTAAACTCAGTGACTTCATGTAAACTAAGAAATTTGCTTGAAAATCTCAAATTGTAATGGAAAAAAACCTCCCTTCCTAGCTAAAAAAAAAAAAAACAAAAAACCTCAAATTATGTATCTACCTCTACATCTTTTAAAAATACCTTCCTAGATTAAAGGTGAAATAAAAGTACAAGACAATTTATATTATTCAGTGTGATATTAGCTCAAAATGTGCTCAAAGATGT